TCGGTTATCCGCTCGTAAATTTTCCATAAATTGGATTACCCGTTCGGCCAACGGATTGCCCGCTATCCATATAAATATTCAAGATTATAGGTAAATGAAAGATCGCTCGATTACGATACACGGATCGACGATATTTCTCGTTCCTCTCGTCGAACCCCGACCCGGCTCGTGTCTCGATTTTCGGTGGAGAGTGGCACTCTCGAGCGTGTGCACGGATCGATGGATCTAGTAGGCGTTGGATCGCTATTCGAGGACTCGACGAGTACCGCGATATCCTTGGAAGTTCCCGGCTGGTTAACCCGATCAGCGACGCTACTTTCGAAACTGACTGACCGATACGCTTCGTCAAGCCGATTCTCGAAGCGTTGGGTATAAACCGGTGGTCTGCCCGAAACCAGTCGACCGACGCCGGATTATTGATCGAGAGTCGTGACCGGCTACTCTTCAATCGACCGTTGCCCCCTTCACAGCCTACCGATTTTCATCCCTGAATTCCGATCACCGATCATCCCTCTTCGCGTCAATCAGTGGCATCCCGTAAAACCGCGATCCTTATTGGCTTAACCGAGAATTTCTGCGCGAATTTTCCACGCGCCGGCACGAACTACGAAGATATAGGTACCGCTCCGACGTTCTAGGAACTCGGAACCTGTAGGCGGAAAAAAGGTTCGTAGAGTGGCGCTCTGCCGTGCGCAAGAAACTCGAAATGATAATCTTGAGGAAACTTAGCGTCGCAACCGGTCCAACTTTCCAAGCGTTCTCCAAGGAAATCGAATCCGATATCGGCGAAGCTCATCGAAAGAACTAGCGTTCGTTTTCGACGAGCCGGCAGGAAAGGAAGCAGCAGAAACACGGAAGAAACTGTTTCGACCCAACTGGGAACGAAGATTTTGCCGTGGAAAAGTTGCAAGGAAGATGCTCGGTTATCTTACTACCGGGACGTAGAATCGAATTGCAAAGGACGCTGTAAATCGCGCACGTCGGCCGCGATGAAAGGAACGGGAAACGAAGGATTATTAAATTTGGCAAAGAAAGCAAGGAGCAACGGAAAGGAAACGAAGACACCTACGCCTCCATCGCGAAGCTTGTTTTCGAATAACCGGTCTATGCAAAATAAACGTGGCTACTTTTCTCGGTAAGCGATCCTCGTGCTTTCGCTCGGAGGAATAGGAGCGGTCGGTTAGGAAATTTCGTAATTGAACCGTATGGTAAATCGTGTGCGAGCTATCGTGAAAGTTGGATCGATTAGTGGAACATCGAGTAGGCGACGAAGAGGAACAAGTTTCCTTAGACCCTGGCATACGGTGCATCCTCTGTGTTGGAGTTTCGGTGTACCCCGTCTAAAAGGCGCAACTGTGCCTCGAACCACGCGAAAGCTTCGATTCGTACACTTGGTTTCACCGACACGTTCGTAAGACGGTAAGCCCGAAGGAGCATTCGCGCGTTAGGAACGTAAAGGAAAACGGGAAAGTAAACTCGACCGGAACGGTCAATTCCTCGAGAGAGACAAGAGACTCGAGCGTACCGCTACGAGCGAGGAATCGAGGGGAAGCTTTTAAAGAAAGTAATAGAGGAATAAGGCTGTAAGACGAGCCACGAAGAAACAAGATGAGAAAGGGCTACGGAGGAGCGAGGCGAATAATTAAAGAAGCTATTAAAAAAAGTACGGTTGCCGAGCAACGAAGAACGTAGGATCTTAAAAGTAACGAGAGAGAGAGAGAGAGAGAGAGAGAGAGAGAGAAAGGAAGCGGTTAATTGAAAAATGAAAAGATGAGAATCAGCGACGAAAAGAAATGGAAAAGAAAGGAAAAAAGAAAGAAAGAGGGGAAAAAGGCGACTGGGAAAGCCAAGGCGACAATGGCATGGAAATACGATCGGACGGGTACCGAATCGCGTTTCGTTGGGTATCGTCCCGTTCTGCTCCATTTTCTTTCGTCGCGGTATTTTTCTTCGTTGATCGTTAATTATCTCTTTACGCGGTTAACACCGTAACCGTAGCTAATTTCCAACGTCCCGTCTGACCATCGTGACCGCAAGGACTTGTGCTACACGTTCGTTCTAAATTCGATAACGCACGGATGAAATTAACGCGCGTGTAAGCGCAAAGAGACGACCACCGTTTTCTTCAACGCGTTAATCGTTGCTCGTGGATATCGATAGTTTGAAAAAAAGAAAAGAAAATGATGGCTCGATCGACGTTTATAGGTTCACGCGTAACGAGGAAGGAGCAATCGACGCGTATATACGTGCTCGCGTAGGTGAAATAACAGCAAGGCCACGTTTAACTCCGCGATCCAAGACTTCTTATCATCGCTCGGTGCAAGTGTCTCTTTGGAACGGATGATGTCGTCCGATGTAAGAGAACGTTATCGACAGCTGCTGCTATTGTAATTGGGTACTTAAGGTTTAGAGGTTCCGGACACTTAACTTTACGATCATCCGAAGTTCATCGACTCGAGTGTTCCGGTCAAGGAGGCGCTTCGAGCAACCTGATCCCCAACTTCTACCCGTTCCTCATACTCTTCCCTGTTTAGCTCGCGAATTCGTCTTACGTTGTCCGAAGAATATACGCGAGCTTTTCCCGAGTGGCTCATTAATCAGGCGAAACGATCGATCGATCGTGGAGAACTTTATATGCTTCCTCTCGACGTAAATACCAACGTTCTACTCTCGCCGTAATTATTTTTCCACGGAAATTGCGAAATTTCTCTCAAAGGGAAGCTAAACCGCGACGAGTTCGCGTTAAACAGTGATAGACAGCGAACAGAGCGAAACCTGCTAGAAGTTCATCGTAGCAAGTAGTATTACTCTATAACTGGCCAGGCGCAGGCGTTCGCCGCACCGAATACCACTTAGCTTTAATGAAAGAAGTTCATTAGAAAATGCATTTCTTAATATCATCGATGCGCAATGTGTTTAGGAAGCTATAAAAATTACGGTACAAGTTGGCAAATATCGCCACCATTTTTTCACCTCGGCGACTTTGTTTTTTATCGCGTGCGCGTACACTATTTAAATATTCGCTACTTCAACGAGCTAACATGGTAAAAGATGTCGGCGCGAGCAGGCTAGCAATTACACCGTTCAATCGACGAAATTGCTTTCAATTCGAAATTCTGATTCGCGATTTAATCATTTCCGCGGAATCCCTGCCAACGGGAGAAATGTTTTTATACTCGCAATTACCGTGAAACCAAACGCAAAATCGATAGCACTCAAAAATTATCCGATATAACATGCTATCCATTTTGTAACCTTTACCTTCGATATACGGTCTCTGCTGGCCGCGATCGTTTTACCGACGATACCTCCTTTTTTTTATTTTCCTCGTCACGGAGTCCTCGACTCCGTTATCGTTTCGGAGTTTCCATGAAAGCTACCCCCGTCGCGTATACGGTATTTCCCGAATTTTCGTCTCTAGAAAAAGATGGAGAAGTAAAGTCGATTCGGGTAAAAGAAAAGCGAAAAAATTTCCTCTCCTTTCTTCTAAACCGACTTGTCCAATTTTCCCATTCGAAACGACGGTACGTATCTTTTTAACGAGAGAGAAGAGGAGGCAGACGTTGCTCTTTCTTTAGCTTGTACAAACAGATTTCTCCGTGAAATTTATCTCAATGACAGCCGCAAGTTGTTTAGCTTGCAGTCTCAATGTTAACTCTACCACTGTTCCATCTGGCAAGATCGCAGCCTTAGAACCAGTTGCTTCATATCGGAATTAGTATGGCAACTTCCAACAACTAGATGCATTCTCTCAGGAGACGAAATATAGATAGATGGACGGAATACGGTAAATGTTGAACCGGATCTGCGCGTATCGTTCGCTCGATACGTACGATTAATTGCCTATTAACCGTAACATCCCTTTCCCGTATTAACGCGAAGTATGGCGAAATTGCTGGAAATTCCAGGGAAAAGAGAAATTTACGTGGAAGAGTTTACGTATCGCTTTAATTCGAAAAGCGGGAATTTTTGTTACAGATGCTGTCCGGACGCGATGGTGGATTGCCCGGCGAATTCCGTTCGACGATGGAAACGCTTATGCGACGAGGAGTGAAGAAGCAACGGAGAATTTGAAATTCGCGAGTATCGCGGTAACGGCGAAGTAATCGGAGTTGAAAAGTGAAAGAGGTTCGCGACACGATCGCATACGCGCGATTTCGCAAATGTTTGGGAATCTCGATTGGCGCGAGTCGTGGATTCCGGGAAGATTGTCCGTGACGATTAAATCGAATCGAAGCGTGGCGTAACGAGTCGTACGAGTATTCCTGCTCGCCTCGACGGTGCGATACGGATCCGGTAGCCTAAAAAGATGGAAGCTGATCTAGAAGCGTGGAAGCAACGCCGGCGGCAGCAGCAGCAGCAGCAGCAGCACTCTGAGCGGCGGCGGCAGCAGCAACAACGGCAGCAAGAACAACAACAGCTAACGAAAAAGCGGAAATACGTGGAACGTTTGAACGTTAAAAGAACATCGGTTGGTGATTGGTAACCGTGGGGCGCGGCGGTACAGTTGGCGGTATCGGCTAGAGGAACAGTAATAACGAGCGAAAGAGTAATCGAAAGGCGCGCGGAAAGAGAAGAGAAGAGAAGAGAAGAGAAGAGAAGAAAAGAGAAGAGAAGAGAAGAGAGGAGACGAGAAGAGAATGAATTGGTGCGATTACGCGTTAACCGTACGAGCACGCTGGAAATCGTGCAAGTCGGGTATAAACGTAACGAAGAACGAGAGCGACGCGTTCGAGAGGGAAGAACGGAGAGGAGAGTAAAATGAAAGCGTAGCGCCGCCGATTCGATACAGTCAATTAAGTTGCCTCGTCGCGATTAAATTTAAGCAGCGGCAAGCGATCGCTTTCAATGCACACGCGCACAATGAGATAGTACGTACCGGTGGCAAGATTACCGCTCGAGTAATCGGAAGCCGGGTAATAAAGCCAATTAAAAGTGTCAATCAGTAATCGATAGATCGTGTCTCGCTTTTCTAACAGACACTCGGAAAGTATATCGGTGCGAGGTAGGAAAAGGATGGCTACGGTTCCAAGGCGAACCGTCCGACGGCGATACTGGCCTGGTCTCTTAACGGCCGCTTACCTATGCACCTTCGTACTCTGGATCAACGGAATGTTCGGCTGCGTGGCCGGTCAGAGGCCGATAAACCTTGGCGGGACGAAGAAACGAGACGTTTACATCGCCGGATTCTTTCCGTATGGCAGCCACGTGCCCGAGAGCCACATAGGTCGTGGCGTTATGCCTTCGGTCAAGCTCGCCGTCGATCATATCAACGAGGATCGCAACGTCCTCAGAAATTATCGGCTGCACATGTGGTGGAACGACACAGAGGTAAGGCTAACCAACGTCCGTTATACATCGATACCTTTCCTTCCAAAGACACGGCGCGATCGTGGCGAAACGTTTACTAAAACTCTGGCTCGATCGTGCCTCGAGCGTACATTTGCACGCGTGTTCCAAACGAAATTCTCGTGTCACGCTCGACATTCGGCCAACTATCTATCTCTCGCGTTAATAACTTCGTCAAATTGCTCGTTCAATTCATGCTGTTCGAATTAACCTCGGAACGCAATCTTACTCGTTCCGTTTATTTTTGTTATATGCATATTCATCGGGTCCGCACGGTGCACGGAGCATTACCGAAAAACCTATTATGCATAAGGTATTCCATTAAATCAATTTATTCGTTATCGCGCACCGTGCAATTGGTTTATACGTTGAATGCAAAAATGTCATCTCGAATAACAGGGCCAATTTATTCTCGTATTCCCGACGTTCCCGTACACCACGATATCGTCGTTTTCAGTCGTTCCACTGACAATGAAAAGTGTCAAGTGCGAAGAAGAGAGAGAGAGAGAGAGAGAGAGAGAGAGAGAGAGAGAGAGAGAGGGGGGGGGAGCAGCTAAAATTACACGGTCATTTAAATCGCGTCATCCTCACTTTTAAATACACGACTCCTCTCCGCCGAGATCGTTTAGCCGAAGAACAAAGAAACGGCGAACGTTTTAAGAACTTTTAAATGTTTGCCATCCCAACCACTCGTTTCCCCCTCCCTAGCAAAGCAGAGTTAATTTTTCGGATAATTCGTAAACCGATAACTTCTCGCTCGCGGTTCGATCGCGTAATCGATATCGGAAAGTTTCGCGATTCGAATACCTCTGCGTACTCGCGCGTCGCGTCGTCGCCATTTCGTATTTTCGTATATACCACGGTAAAATTTTCAATCGCGCTGCACAGCCATAGCGAATGCGACGACTGTCCGACTGCTGCTGCACTCGCATCTTCCTTTTCGAAATACCTATATACGCGTGCATATATATCCTCTTAGCGACGCAAAAGGCCAGCCTCGCGAGTTTTAATGCGATTCGTCCTTTCGTCGACAATCGATATCCTCGCGGAAAGAAACGTCCGCGATACGCGACTTATTTTCGAGGGGAAAGAAATATAGGGAATGTTTGGTAGCTCGATCGATCGGAAGGTCGGTTCCTTTCTTAATGCTCCACGGATACCCGGGCCCGATCTTGGCGATCAATTTTTTAAATCTCACCGCACCGCTCGATACACGCTGCGCCGAGAATCTTCGTACGAACTAAACGTCACGTTTGGCTTTTTAAGGATATGGGTTAGTAGGTTTCCAAGAATTGCGAGCTTCATAAAATAGTAGCGGAAACGAAGATTTTTCGACGTTTTTACTCGATTCTGCACCCACGGCTCGATCTAACGACCGAGAAACGGCCGCGCGTAAAGATATTCCAAAGAATACGAAAGAGAGATGTCATCGTTGAAAAATGGAAACGTATTAAATAGGGAGATTCGATAAACGCGACTTTGACATTCATCGTTGAGATGGATACTTTCTTTCCCCGTGTTTGAACATCTTGGAACGACTTTGAGCGTCAAACGAGACGACGTCGCGTCGTTGGTACGTTTGAGTATAAGGAACTGTTTGTTTCGAGAGTCTCTCTAGCTCTGAATCGCGAATATTTCGAGTATAAACGGCGTCATGTTAATGACACTTCTTTGTCTTGCATCGTGTCTTTTTAATTGTTCGGCTCGAAACGAGGGGTCGCTGGAGGAAAGGCGGATGGAAAAGCCAATGGCGAAGGTAATAAATAAAACGACTGGAGTGGCGAGTACGGAAGATCAGCGATCGGAGTCGTTTTAACCACACTTTTTCGAAATGCCGTGTTTGGTTCGGCCGTGAAAAGTACCAGAGGACAATTACCGCCTTTCGTTTTTGTTGAAAATAACCGACGCTTACCACTAACGATGTTAATCGATATAAAAAGAGAGCACTTAGCGCTCTTAGCGTTGGTTCGTCGTTGAAAGTTTACCGTGTCGCTTAAGGCTGTCGACACCGTTTCCCGACGGGACGACGATAATTCATTAATTGCGCGGCTCTCAAAATGTTTCTGCTCGAAACACACTCATACTCCATCCGTTTCGATGCCTCCTGTTCGCACGCATCTTCGGTGTACAAACGTTACTACCGACCAACCATCCAATCCCATTTCGATTTATACATTCGGCCGTTCGCACGCGGATGCCACGCGTTAAATCGCTCGACGATGCGCTAATTAACGCGAAATTCTCCGACGGCTAGGACAATTTTTCAGCTGGAGGAACGATGAATCGTTTCCGGTGCGACACCGCCGCTTCATGGAAACGTCATAAATCTGACGGGACGCGCGATAGTTTGTAAATCGTTACGAGAGATCTCTACGCGGAAAAAAATCTCGCCTCTCCACGCCTCGTTCCAGCCGTTTCTCAGCCAACTCTCTGGTTCTCGGTGCTCGGTGTCGCCGTTTTGCCCGCAGTTTCATTTGCTTCGATCCCGTTCCCTTTGTACCGGTACCTCGACTCTCGGCAAACTAGTCGACGGCAAAGAGAACGCGAGCGGCTTAGGAGAAACGAAGCTGGACGTTAAAGATTCAGGAAATTCTGACACGCCGCGGTATGAAAGGATTCCTCCGAGCGATCGATTCTCCCTTCTCGAGCGCGCCCCGCGTAAGAGATCGTCCAGAGTAAATCGCGTAGCGTATCGTACGTGCACGTATCGTTATGTACCTACGTATATCCGGTAATATAATAATCGGATGGAAGATAAGTCGCGACATACAGCACGGCATACGCATTCTTTCGCAATGCACGTCGGTAAGGTACAAAGGAAGAGAGTAGCTTATAAATAACTCGCGTCGTATCTGAAATCAATGACTTTATTCGAAATCATAGACGTGTATACCGTTTGAATAAATATTCATCCAGCTTATTACTACTCGAATTACGTTCGTTATTAGCAATTATTTCGTGGATATCAAGGCGAGCGAAATAAATGTAAATATCGTTATCGGAATATAAGAATAGAATACATTCGTTGGAAGAGGAATAAATCGATATTCGTTGCGTTCATTCGTTACCCATTATCCGAATAAAATTATTTACTTATCTCCGCTCTTATTGAGCGAGATAAATTATTGCGCGAGATGAATCAGCGGATTTGAAAAAGTCGTGTTTCCTGTCCGATCGCGGATAAGGAGCTGGAAGAATGACGGAATCGTAGAAAGGCGGACAAAGTCCCTCTCCACGGGCTCAAAGATAAGAGGGGAAAATTCCATTTTCGGTCGATTTTTCTGGAAAATACTCGTCGATCGTTCTTACCGTTACGTACCTCTGGCGAATCAGCCTAACGAAATCGGTTAGAGCGAAAAAAGAAGGGAAGAGCTCGAAAGATCGAGCGACGTTCGAAATTTTCGCGCAATTTCGCCAACGCGCCCGTGCGAATCGTAAATACGCGTATATACCATCGATAGGATCGTTCCTTGGCAATAAATAAATTTATTATCCCGATTCGACGTTCCAATACGCTTCGGAACATTAAATCTAATATTCTAAAACGGCATCGAGTATCATACCGACTGGATTTATCGTTGTTACGGCAACCACGCAAACGAAGGTTAAAAAATGCATTTCCATTATCGCACGCGGAATCGCGAATGTTTCGGAGAACGGTCGAGTATCGGTTCTTCGATTTTACGCGCCAACCGTTCGACCAAATTTCGATACCGAGTGTCGCAGCGCGCCACCGTTCTTTCTTACGCACAGGGATACGAGTAAACGAAAAGTCAGCCGGAACGCGAGTAGGGAATTCGTCGAGTAGAATAGACTGTCGATTTTATCGGGCAGAGACAACGAAAAGAAATTCGTCTAACATCGTTGATCGAGTAAAGGAAAAACACGCGTTTCTTCGTACTCCTGAGAGTCGATAAACACCCAGCGACAATGGAATTTCAGCGCACGCGGTGCATCGAAAAACGCTTCTCCGTGTGCGGCCATTCCAAATTCTATTACCTTTTGCTCTCTATTATCTGGAAGAAGCTTAAGAGAATTACGCCGGAAAGGCAAAAATTTCAGCGTCGAATCGAAGCTGAAATTGTTTCGTATATTTGGTCGATTGTACGTGAACGGCATCCGATGATTCGATATTCGATGGCCGAAGCGGGAAAAAGTATCGGGAAAATCGAAACTTTTAACGGTCACGTTTCGGTTAAAAATTCGCTAATGCCGCGGAAACGAAGGACAAATTCAGTGAACGCGATGACAGGTAGAAATCAAGCGGTAGAAAGTTTCACGGGCAGGTAAATGTTAATCAAGCGGAGGGAAGCACGGAGATTTAACGCGCAAACTTTGGTTTATTCAGCGGCGAGCTCGTTTAGCAAGTTTTCGGTCGAGTATCGTAATAAATTTAAAGTTGATCCGTCGCGGAGTTAATCTCCATTTATATCGCGAGGACAAATCGTAATTACCCTTGCCATTGTTGGATTTTGTTTCGCGGCCGGAATTTTCCAACGGATCCGAAAGATTTCGCGAAAAGTTTCTTCCGGTCGGTTCGTAAGGCCGCGTTCGAAGCTTTTCGTCTACGATCTCGCGTAGAAACCGTGTCCCGAGATAATTTCGATGTCACGGTGTACGGAAACGCGATAACTCGTGATTCGAGGTAGCGTAACTGGTAGCGGATAGAACAGGGAAGTTGGTTGACGCGAGGCAAAGTTGGACGGACGCATCGCAAGGGAGGGGTCCCAAAAATCGTGTCACGCCGCGACGGGGATACGAGGGAAAGGATAAAAGCGTGGACGGCGTGCCGGAGAAGGCAGGATGTCGAAAATATCGAAGAAGACCCTAACGCAACGGCGAGGGAAATAGGCGATGCGGAAGAAAAGGAGATCTGGTGGGTAACGCGAGGCGTGATCGATTCGCGGATAATCGCGACCTATAGCTTCGTCGACCAATAACAACGGTCCACCTATCGGAGAGGCTCGACAATTCTAGTTGAT